AAAATATTAAAAAATTAAATAAGCAACTTAGTGAAATTCAAAACTACAAAAACCAAAACCAAAAACACGCTTTCATGCCATTAGCAGTTGTATCAATGTTGCAGCAACAAAAATGTTTAGAAACATTGGACGAGCAGCAGCAAAAAAAGCAAGCAACAGCGGCAGCTGAAGTAGGCAGCCCGCAGCGTCTAAACGCAGAAACACGGCTTACAAACGCTTTCAACGCCACTTGTAAAGAGGAACAACGCACAGCTTGGCAACATGTTGCCGCAACAGAACAACAATCCCAACAGCAAGTTAATAGTGAGAAAAGCTTGCGCAAAACTACTAATCTACACCATGTTGGGATAACAGATAAATGCATGCTAAATGCGGCCGCACGCCAACGGACACATGTGGCCAGCAACATTACACACACCACGTACACAAACGTAGCAACATTGGTTGAGCACATCGAAGCCAATGTGGCATTAGGAAAAGTATTAAATAAATCAAAAGAACAAACAGCAACGCTCCATGTGGCAAACAGCATTGGCAATAAAGTGCTTAGCAACATGTTGCCGCAACATACAACGCTGGCGCGTTTGAAGACGAAACGTGCGCGCCACCAAAGTGTTGCTGCGGTGCAAAGTGCTGAGAAGCGTGCAAAAATTGCCAACGCCAAAGCGAAGGCGACAAAATTAAATACAACAACAACAACAATAATAGCAACAACAAATAATCAAAGCACACAAAGTGCAGAAATGTGCGAAATGACCGCGCCTACGGGCGAGCCGTCGGTCAAGCAACAACAACAACGCCAACACCAACACCATAACACCGAAAAGACGATAGATTTCAATAGTCGACGGCGACGCGGACGCCTAAGGGCTGTCAATGTGCATAACGCTGTCTGTGGTAATGGTCTAACGGCCAGCGTATGTCGGGCGCTGATGTGGCTTGCCAGATATTTGGAAAAGGTCGCGCACAATCGCGCCAGCGCCGGCTATGATCAAAGTGATCCCTTGCTATATTTGTTATCGGTGTTGTTATCGTTAATCGTTGTTAATGTAAATAGAGTTGCCAGTTTAGTGAATGAATACAAATGTGAAGTAAATAGTAATGCGTTATTTAATAATAAAGCAAATACCAACAACACCACCAACACACCAAATACTAACAGCGCTAAAAATAATAAAAATCACAAAATCATTACTAATCAGAGCATTGAGTTGATTAGCGAGTCTGGCGGCGCTGTGGACTCGTTGCAATTGCCGGAAAGTGGCGTCGCCAACGAGGAGAGTGACGAAGATAAAACCTCCGTAGACGCGCCTGAGTCCGAGTCCGAATCCAAGTCCGAGTCCGCGCAAGTGGCTAAAGCGAAAAACAATAACAAGATAAACGCACAAAATACAGTTATGACGCTTGAACGCAACGCGTTGGCGCTCACCGAACGCGTTGGCTTAATCAACGCAAGAAGTGCAACGAAGCGTGGCAAGTCCAATTGCGCAGCAAACGCGCGTGCCAGCGCCACAATAACAACAACAAAAACAGCAGGCGGCACAAGCAAAACATTTGTGGCCATGCAAATGCAGTTACTCTTCTATGCCTTCATCTTATGCACATCCATATTACTTCCAAGCGGCAATAATTTGGTGGCCGCAGCCAAGCCGAAATCCGCTACGCAATTGCAGCAACAAAAGCTATTACAACAACAACAGCAGCTATTACAACAACAACAACAGCAGCAGCAACAACAACAGTATGAGCATCAACATGGTCATCAGGCTCATCAACCGGCTGCCGGTCCAAATGGTGGTTTCGGCATACCCGTCGCTTCCGGCGGCACGGCTGGTGCCGATTTGACACCGCCAACCTATCAGGTCGTTTCATCGCGCGCATCCAATGAGCAGGCGGAATTCATATTCCCCGCTGATCAATCAGACGAGCAAGTCTTCGATCAGGAGAATTTGAATGTAGTGGAATTGGATGATGACGACGATGATGAGGAGGAGGCGAGCCTGAAGAAAACATACGGATTGCATGACAACGGTAAGTCAATTATAATATTCTGCTAATAAATATAAAATTCAAATTGAATCAAAATATGCAAAATATTATTGTAATGACTGAAGTGTGGGTTAAATACTGAAAATAATCCTCTTAAAATACGTGCTAATGTTAATTGATGGTTAAAGCATGTAATATTCTATCTAAGATTAGTCGATAGTTGCACCCTTCTTCTTTTGAACTATCTGTAAGATGTCAAGAAAGAATAATTTCAGCGCTGCTTCTCAACTATAATAGGATGAAGTTGGAAGCAGCTTGTATCTGAACTTCCCTATCCCAATAGTCTAGCTGGAAGTGAAAACGAACGCCTTAGCAGATTCTTCATATCCTCGAGATGCTTCCTCACTTTAGACTCTATTCTATATTCAGTAGTTCCTTGGCACCACAGAATGTGTTGATGTCTTTGTCCAACTGGGATCTTCAAGTTATAACTTCCGAGTAGGACTAAGCTTAACCTAATCTCACATTTGCTGCTTAACAGACTGGTTTGTTTCAATGATGAATCTTTATGGTAGATGAGTTTTTTTCACACTTTGTGTTTTTCCTCTTCGATTTCTGGTTTTCAAACGAGATAAACCTAGTTTGGCATCATGGAAAGAGCCGATTTCAGTTTCTTTTAGCAATTTCAAAAGAAAATCCTCATTAACTGTTTTAAAATTTTAAATGGAACTCTAAGTGCTCATTCCTTACCGCCACATTCAATATGCTTAAATATGTGTTAATATGAAAACGTAAATAATATTTCTCCTTGTTCTTGTTTGGCCGGTCGCAACGAATTCGGTGTGCTCTACACCTCGATAATCGAAGGACAAATGTCAACATAACCTCGATTTTTGAACTGCTTTGACGTGGTTTTTTCGGGATCATCTTACCTTTGTAACGTTATGCGACGATTTCCGGGTTGTAAGCATAGTAATAAGATGAGTCCTGTTTCACATACGTTAACCCGACGATGTTTTTAGAAAAATTTTATTGATATTGGGAATAATTGGGCCTTCACTTTTCTAGGGACGAAATGATCTTTCAAAATGGTTTTCACTGATACTCTCGAAACTAAAACGATGCCAGTAAGATCTCTCGATTTTGAGGTGCTAATTTCTTTATTTTATTGACACGTTGATTATCAGTTGATGTTGATGGCCTTTCTGTTCTTGATTCGACGTCAACGCGTTCTCGACCCTCTTCGAATAGTTTGTACAATTAAAAACATTTACTCGCATCGAAGGTCTTTTTTGCTACATTGGGCACGTTTCGGCACCAGAAATGTGTTTCCGCACACTACATTAAATGGAAAATCTTCCTTGTATAATTTTACTCATCGTTAAAATAGACGAATGTACTTTAAGCACTTCAGAAAGGCAAGAGTATAGTAAATACTAATGATTATTTTGATGTGACATTTGTCACAGATGGCACTGACAATCATATTAAATGAAACAAAAAAATATTTCGTCGACCTAGTTTAAGTTTGAATTATAAATTATAAAGTCTTACCATAGCATATACTTTGAGAATTTTTTTTTCATGTCAAATTTAGTTAGCCAAAATGGCATATCTAACACCAGGGGATTTAGTTAGGTCAAATTCCTGGAATATATTATAATATAACACAGAAGATTCCGTGGAGTTATAATGCTCAACAGGACATTAAGCTCTAACGATAAATATTTAGGATTGCGAAAATGTTTCTGAAATCTTTTGTCGATTGAAAGTAAGAAAAAAATATCTGTGGAAAAAATCCAGAATTTGTTTAATTTAGGTTCTCGTCGAAACCTTGGTTACAACAAATGTGCGACTCAACCTTCAACAACAACCCTCTTCAATATTTGAGAGACCGTCCATAATTTCGAAATTAGCACAATACATTAAATTAGGCCTTCGTTTTTGCATGTAAATAGAGATATATCCTCTTATAGGCATTTTAACATTAGAAAGGCGGGAGTTTAGTTATACCTATATTGCCTGAAAGCAGTCAAAATGACTATTTTCGGAAATGTAGATATAACATATATATGTATGTACATATATTGGAAGTGAAGGAGGAGGCAAAAACAATGATAAATTAATCCATTTATATGTTGTAGAAAAGTCACAAAAATATTAGAAGCTATGTCATTATTTAAATCACTATTTTTTTTAATTGAAATTCGAAAGCAGTCAAAATAACTTTGCTTGGGCTATCTAGTGTTAAAAATATGCAACAAATCTTTAGAATTTGATGTAAGGATTAAAAAGCTAAAACCAAATTCAACATGGTGTGCATTTTTTTAAATTTATTTTGTTCAGAGAAAATGCCTTAATGTAGTAATTAGATATTATAGTGACTACAACCCATAATTATTTGTTCTTGAATATTTGAAACTAATATATTTAACAAATAATAAGCCTTTGCAAATGATGCATATAATCGCCGAAAAATTATTTGCTTCGTCATGAGTAGGTCCACCAGTGTCACTATTTCTTAAGTAAATAGCAACACTACTTTTAGGTTCCATATAACTCCGAATGACCTTCGGGATGTGAGCTTCGTAACTTTTATAGAATTTACTCCGTCTTCTCCTCTATCTCCTCTTTAAATTCGTTTTCGACTGGCTGAGATAAATTTTCAATAAATCATGTGACTATTCTGTTTTAGGAAAGGACTTCTTATTGACTATAACCCGCAACAAATTCATGATGCACCAAACCACAAATATCCAAAAAAATTAAGGAGCATCAAAATACAGCTTTATCGGGACGAGTCGAGCAAGAACGCGTTTCATACCTAAAATATCCTTCAAAATTATTCGAACGGACCCGCAAGAGATGTCGAGCTCTCTTTCCATCTCTATTATCTCTACTATTTGCCCGACAAATTCCAAACAACATACTATTCACTTTTGTAATATTTTCATCAGTTTAAGAGGTGGAAGATCGTCAAGAAAGAAGCATGTCGTCGACGATCTCTCGATCGTTCTTGAAGGCTTTGTATCAATCGTAGGATTGTGTTTTTATAAAATTGAGTCAACAGCCAGTAACTTCCAACATTTGCAAGGGTACCTCACAGGCAATGTCGTTAGAAATGCAAAATGTAGACAAATTCTTTCCTCGATATTTTTTTTTATCAATTATATAAATCGCATCGCACTACTGAGGTGTACCGACTTAAGCAGCTGGTGCGAGCAAATTGGTAGATCGCTACTCGGGTGCTTTTTTGTCACAATATGTTTCAAGTCACTTTTCTTCTCGGCGAATCGCTCAAAAGAAATCAATAAGCATTTTCCACTCTAGTGTTTTCAAATTAGCTTACTGAAAATTTTCACCATGTACTACTGATACCAAGTTTTTTTGGAAAGAAATCGACAAGTCCTTAAATTAATATTTTAGGCTTTTAAGCAGAGCACTATTTTTCGGTTTTAATATTCCTGAGAAAATTATGACATACTTTTTTCCAACTTATTTTTTTCTGATTTTTCCATCTTCAAATTAATAGCTGTATCCATCGTACGGCCGAACTCCAATATTTTGTAGCATTTTTAGAAGTTCGAAAATTGTATTTTATATTTATTGGCACTGCTCATAAAAAATTCATAACTTCACTTCAAATTCAAAATAACGTAAAATCACTTGGCGAATGAATAACGATATAATATAAGCCACTTATATAATATTTACAACTTTTGGGGTTTGGTTATAAAATGGTTATATTGTGTTTATATCTGAGAATGGCAGTTGCAAATTTTATGATATTACATATGTATGTAATTTGATGTAATGAGTCGTAGGCAATAACGAAATTAATTAAAAAAAAAGTTGGGAAATTAAAACAAGAAAATCATATTTCAAAATCTAGATGTGACAGAAAAATTCGTTTAAAATATAATAGATAGAGTTACGTATCAAAATATTCGCATTTGTGACGAATTTCTTTGTTGACCATTTTTATAGCTTAATTTCATTCACTCTTGAATCGAAATCAAAATCTTTCGTAAAGGAAATGCTCAGATTTAATAAACAAATGAAAGTTTTTACTTCTAGAATATTTAGTTTACGATTTTGTTATTATTAAAAAAGGGAAACTTGTGTGCAACCTTAAATAACAAACGTCACCAATATTTCTTTTGAAGATTAATAAATTTAGTAATCGCGATCCCTAACAAATTTTTTAATAAGCCAAATTTGTCAAATTAATTTGTGATCAATTCATACTCTATATTAGTGAACACCACATAAATCGCTCACATGTCCAAACGATAAACAAGAAAAAATGTTAACTTCTGTTGCATCAAATCTTCTTTAATACGCTTCATAGGTGTCTTCCTTAAAGCATAAAGGTTTAAAAAAAATATTAACTCTGATTTGGATCAATTTGCGTGTAAGGCAGCTATATGCTATAGTGGTCGGATCGGCGCAATATAATCGCAGAATGTAGCTCAGCCTTGGATAATATTGTATGCAAATTTCCTTGAAGATTTCTTGTCAAATAAAAACCTAGCCTGGAAGTACTTGGCAATGATCGGTCAGTTTGACGGCAGCTATGTTATAGTTGGGGAAAAAAGGTTTAGTGCAAAATTACAGATTGATTACTCAAAAATTGAAGAACTAGTTAGTCTATCAGACATTGACATGGTTAAATCAACGAGCTGAGTGGGTCAGGCTTATCATTTATACATATGCATAAATACTTATATAGGAGCTCCGATATTTCTTTTTGGGTGATATAAACTTTGTTTCCGAAATTATTATGCTCTGTTCAGGGCATACAAATATGTGAAAAGGCAGTGCATGGAGTAAACTGCTGGATATTTACAGGTTACTCATACGCCATGTGGTAGCATTATTATTTTTGTTTTTTAAGTAGAATAACATTTCTTTGGTGTGTAAAATATTATTGAATCCCGAGAGTTTTGAACTTTTTATGTGTTTGCTTCGCAAACTTATCAATATATAAATATGTATTAGTGCTTTTATGTACATACATACATACTGCTTTGGTATGTTAT